GGGAGGGGGCCTTAGGGCACAGTGCCTCGAGGGCTGGCGGGGTGGTGGTGAGTTCTCCAATTTTCTCATCTCATCCCATCTTTGAGTTCCTCACTAGGTTTGATTTAAAAATTACTTTTAAAGAAAAGAAAATATCATGTATATAATCTTTCAAATTAGCTAATCCGTTTTGGAATAGTAAACATGTATATTATGTGTATACTAGCCCCAACGAGGCTGTTCTCGCAGAGCATGTACACACAAATGCTTTGTGGTCTACTTCGAGCTATTCATTTTTTTCAACTCAATTGGCAATAACTTGCTAAAGATATCGCAGAGTTTCTGACCCTTCAATTAGGGACTTCATCTCCAAAATACTCAAACCAAATCATGAACTCGTGGAGTTTCATTGTCAAGGAATGCGAAAACCAGAAATGGGAAGGGATTATTACTAGAATTTGGCCAAATACAAAGTACTTGGTTGTGATTGTGACAGGTATGTAATTACTTTATATACGCTATAACATGTTATAGCCTTATTATTTTCTTCATATTTCTAATACTACTTATTGTGGATGTGATTTATATGCGATAACAAGTGTTACTTTGGACTCAATTTGAACCCAATGTGCAAGCCATCAGTAATTTACACTATGTGCTACTTTGAATTTATCCCTCAGGATTCACCACCCCGTCTCGTGGACCTAGCAAACGTGGAAGTGGGAAAAAATACGAGCTCATGATCACAACCTATCCTGGTATATGTCGTTACAGTGTCGGTGACGTACTCCAGGTCACAGGGTTTCACAACTCTGCCCCTCAGTTTAAATTCATAAGAAGAGAAAATATGCTATTGAGCATTGATTCGGACACTAGTTGCAAAACACGGTTGATAGAGCTGCTGCAATTTTGTGCATGTACTATTTGGTCGAGTACATTAGTTATGCTGACACTAAAAACCATTCCAGGACATTATGCTATTTACTGCGAATTACTTATTAAAGACCCAACCAATTCGCCGAGCCACGAGGTTTTGAACCAATGTTGTTTGGCTATGGAAGAATGTTTGAACTTGGTTTATCGACAGTGCCGAGTTGCAGATAATTCAATTGGACCACTTGAAGTTAGAGTAGTGGAAAACGGTAATGGACTATGTAATTTCTAGAGGTGCATCTATAAACCAGTATAATAAGGCTTCTAGGTGTGTTAATTTTAGTAGAATTTTTAGACTCCAGGGTAATTTCCGGCAGCGTTTACATGTCTCTGAAATTCAAGTTAAGATCAAGACCACATGAGTGGAATAAAACTTTTTTTTGTTGTTCTTTTGGTATCTTTGTGTAGTGTTGAATATTCAACGTTGATATTAGTCAATTTGCTCATGGAAAGTGTTTTATCCTTTTGTTGTCTTGATTGATTTGAAATTGCAATCAATATGTGTTCTCTTCCCTTTTTGCGGCTTCGTGTAGGTAGGTTCTTATAACCTGAACACTTTACTGAAATGTCTTGTATATCCGTTTTGTTCTTGACCCTCGGATTTGACCCTGAATCAGAATGTTTGGTTCATTTATAAAGTACCTGAAAGCTGCAGATGTAGACCTCATAAGCTGCAGTCTGCAGATGTAAATTATATATTGAATATATATGAAAAAGTTGTCTTCAACACGCGTGGAGACGTATACGTCTAGTCTAAATCTGTAAATAGTGTCTATTGAGTCATTAATAACCTTTAGAATTGTACTAATTGGTATGTATACAAGTTTTTAATAATTGTTTTTTAAAAAACGTTCAAAAACAATGTTGAAATGATCTTACGTTTTAGATCCATTAAGTAATAGTAAGAATATGTTTGAACCAAACTAGTAAAAACAATGTTGAAATACGTTTTAGATCCATTAAGTAATAATGTTGATTATATATGTTACAAGTACTCAAAATACAGCAGCTTCCTATATTATAGTTTAAGGAACACAGTTCATGATTTGCTTGAGGCCATTGTGTTTTTGGGATAGAAAATTGAATGTTAATTGAATAACCGAACTCTAGTTAAATTAGAATCTCAATACCCCATTCTATAGTTCAATCAAAGCCATAGATTTAACTGTTGTAGTTAATACCAAACCTCAATCCCCAATTAGCTGGTAGATGATACAGAGGAAGCAGTTGTATTTTTATTTAGAACTCTAGTTGAGTGATTTTTAAGATAAAACCTCTAAGTTGAGTGATCTTATCAAGTTATTTGTAAATTTAGCCATTGTTGAGTTCGTGTTTCAAGTTGACATGGTGTATCTACAGAAATAGTGTCAATTTTTTACTTGTGTAACAGAACCTATTCTTCCATGGAAGAAAATGCAGAGAGAGCAATTAGTATAGTAAGAAGAGGAGCTATTATTTCTGTGTGTTTTTACAATGAAGGAAGAGGACGATCATACATCATATCATACACCAAGTGCACCTTCTAACAAACTTAGTGACAGCGGAATTCACCTAGCTATCATTTCTCAATAAATAGCATAAGCTGATCTTTGGTTTTAGGCAAGGCTTGCACAGAGAAATGTGGGATCCTTATTCATATATACACAAATTTTCTAGATGCAAAATTCAACCTCCATGACCATAAGAACTGGAAAAGTCTTCTCTGTTAGAATGTTCATCACCATATTGTCCTGTTTCTAGCAAATTGACCCGGCAAAACTTCCAAGTACGCGATATTAAACTAAATGGGAATGATGTCTCGTTTTGAACTGGGGCGAACATAGGATGCTAGGACAGCCATGTGAAAATGCTGATTTACACAAAATTAAGATACATTTCTTAAACGAAGAATGCATATATAATCATCAATCTTTCATATGTTTTCTCTTTTTCTTTTCTTTCTTGGGGGTTGGATGTCCTTATGTTTTATAAGTAATGCAACTATGAACATTCCGATAAAAATACTTGTATGGATAAAAAAATTCCAGGGTTCCTCGGGGTAAATGCATTAAACAGGGACAAATTTTAGCGGTTCAATGCATAGCCAATTAAATGGAGTAAATCAACGCTAAGGCAGTAGATGAAGGTCTACCAAATTTACTGTCATCAAGGATCACTTCTCAATGATTGCACCAATATTGGACTCTCCAATGCATGGTCCTGGAAAACTAGAATCGAAGTAAAAGCCTTAATATCGCAGACAACAACTAGTTTACCACACGTATTTCAACACTATTCACTTCAAAATCTATGAAGGAACACAGACAAGAAATACAACTAAATATCGGAAAGTTGTAAAGAAGAAACTGAAAATACTGTTCTTGGGCTTTTACCTCCAAATAATAGTCCCTCAATTGCCTCCCTGTTTGAGCACAACAAATGTGAACGATTGATTCATCACTGCTTCCACTAATGACATAGTCCCTTCCATTCATGTAATATGATCGAGTATAATTATGAGCACTCCCAGTCGAAGTTATACCACAATCTGTCTGCAGCCAACCATCTACAGACAAAAGTTGTATCACCTGTACCATAAAGACAGAATAAACCTCAATCGTGAATCCATCTACAAGTTATAAATTTGTACCAAAATTATTGCTTCGAATATGTCTAAACTAAACAGAGGTCACAAATCAGACCTTTAACCTAACTTGTTAATCCAATAGAAAGCAAATTTTGTATGATCAAATGAGATGCTTAATATGTTGTATTGATCAAGGTACCTCGTTGTCTACAGCCGATACCAGCAGATACAGGTCGTCTGGGGAAAAGCAAACCATCACATTTCCCCTTGAGCTCGAGGTTGTATAAAAGGGTTGATTTGGAGTCTGCCTTAAATCCCACAATTTGACATCACGATCGAAAGATGAAGTGACTAGCAGGTTTGGAGAATGGTGTGCAAATTTTGCCACATTAATGGGTTCTTGATGCATATCACTGAACAAATGCAAGCGCTTGCCACTACAAATATCGTATATAGCAACTTTCTTTGAATAACCACTAGTAAGAAACTGATCATCCGTTGAATTAACATGAAGTGAAGTCAAATGTTCAAATTTATCAAAAACAATAGGGCTGGAACTGCTGCAGCTCCCCTTTGCCTTTTGCAATGTGTCATACAATCTCAAAAAGCCACTGTCAGAACCAGCAAGGAGCTGATTTATGAAAACAAAGAATACATCAGTAGTTTCCAATAAAAAGAATGATATAGTGTACAGAGAGTCGGTCTCCACATGCTCCTTGAAAAACGAAAGCAGTATTCACCCAAAAAGTGCAGCTTTGATATATTCTTACATCACTGCTTCAATGTGAGTAAGTAAAGATAAAGGTATCAGAAAATTAAATGATGGAAGATGAACTTTTGCACTTGTAATAGGAAATAAACGACAGGTATATAGACGAGAGGGAGTTGCTCGGATGGTAAGCATCCCTCACTTTCAACCCGAAGGTTGTGAGTTTGAGTCACCAAGGGAGCAAAAGGGGTGGGGAGCTCTTAGGGAGGATAAAAAAAAACAGGTATATAGATTGTTTACACCGCTCCCCCTTCTTCTTTTTTCTACAATTTAGATACATCCAAAATTATTAAACTCAGATTATACAAGTTTGACCTCAATGTCGTCATGCCCGACGACATGCTGAAGAAAGGAGGAACACATAAGTAAAGTCGAATAACAAGAAAGTTTCAGGAAGAATCTAATATGAGTTGGGACATGTCTCATAGTGGGAATGCACACTACAATGCACTAAAATGATCATTTGAAGAACTTATGATTTGTAGCATTATACTATCTAAAATATGAATGTCATCTTACTTTTAGAATGGTAAATAACAAAAACTAAGTATCTTAGAACACATCAAATTCAAAACACAGGCAGAAAACCTTCAAATTTATAGCATGTAATATAACAATCCGAGACTTATCTGCCATCTGAAATTGCCTTTCATAAAACTAGTTGCAAAACCTCAAGAGCTAAGTTGCTCAGACTCTCCAAAATTGTTGCTGCACCCGTGTTGGATCCTCCAAAAATGCAATTTATAGAAAGAATGTAAATCGACTATTTATAGAAAGTTTGTGAAGTGCTGATCCGAACCATAGGACAAATTATCAGAGTAATATATTATTCCATCTATTTCAATTTATATAATCTATGTAATTTGAATGAACAAAAATACAGTTCAAACTTTTGTGAATGAATTGCAGAAGATTTTTTTTTCAAACTTGCCTAGTTTAATAAACAAAAATTAATTCAAAATAATCTCCAAATATAATTTCAAAAATTTGAAACAAAACCTATGGATAAAAAACGAACTTCATTTCAAATTAATAGTCTTAGTAGGCGTATGACTATAGATTTCAATTTTTTTTTATTTTAATTAGAATTTATGGACAGGGGCGGAGGTACACTAGGCTCAGGGTGTCCAATTGGACACCCTTCATCGGAAAATTACTTCGTATATATAAGTAAAATTATACTTTAAATGGTTAAATAAGACATTTTGGACACCCTTAAGCATACTAAAGCTTCTTAGTCCAACGGTATCATGGCCCAACACGAATTTTTATAAATGCGCTCACGCACGGGTTCGAATCCCAGTTGGTACATTTGTTTTTACATTTTCATAAAGCTCCTATTTAATTTCTAATTACAGTTAATAAATCAGTTATGTTTTTAATAATTCAAAATTAATATTATCTATTAAAAATCTTAATTAGAGACCTAATCATAGTTAATAAATATGTTGTTTTTTCAACAATTCAAAACTCATATAATTTATTAGAATAATAATCTCAAATTAGAGACCTACAACTTAAAAATATAACAAAAAAAAAAGCATAGTAAACATTAAATTTTAATCATTTTTTCTTTTCACTAAAATTTTAAATAAAATTTAAAAGTAATTATTTAATTTAAATTTAATAAGCAAATTCTCATTTTTTTTTATAAAGCTACTAAAAGTGAAAAAGGCTCGATATAGAATTTCTTTTTAGAAAAACTCGTTCGATTTTACTCTTTATTTTTCATATCTTGTTGTTAAGTCACCAAAGGTTGGTGAAATCTTGAAGTATAAAAGTGATTTCATTATAAACTGAATTTTCTCTTTCTCTTTTTTCTTTTTCGTTCACTTCCTATTAAATAAACATGAAAATTCAAGCTAAATTTTACGTGGTTTGATTTTAAAAATTTTAGTATAATTTTTAATTAAAAAAATAAATTGTTAATGTTACGTAGTTTGATTTCAAAATTTTAGTGCACCCATCGTCAAA